TTCTAATTGGAATACAAAGTCTTAAAAGTTATATTTAATTATTTTGCTCTACCATGTATTCGTGATTTTATATCCAAACACATCAATAAATTTGAACAATCTTTCGCAAATTGCATATTAAATAATGCTTTTAAATACGCGCATTTTCTCTATCGTCCGCTTCTCTCTTTCATCGTAAGATCTAATTTCTTATGCTTACCTACACGGCCGAGAAAAAGCTTAATCCGCGCGATGGACCGCAAACACGGATAATATCGCGGACAGGCATGATAATTACCGGAATCATCAATAGATCGTTAAGCGGGATTTCATTCGGGATGATGAAATGAAGGTAAGACTCATTTTTGATGCCTTCGAGACATCACTTTTTCATTATTGCTGCTGCCCAATGGAACGGAAGCTACCCCGTAATTGTTACGTAATTAACGCAGAGGCAAAATTGACGGGCGATTATCTCGATGTAGATATAATGATAACGGCGACATCATTACAACTTTCCGTATTCCCCAATGATAAAGATACATTTCTTTTATTGCGCCATTTTTAAACCGAGAAAATTAAAGTGTTTTTTTTTATTTTAGAAGTAAATGGAAAAATACTTATATTTTGTATATAATATTATCACATATATATAGGTATATGAATGGGTTATCGTTTAAAAGTGGGGATATTTTATGTGACTCTATTCTCACGTTAAATATTTTATGTTTGCGTTTCATTTAAATTATTATAATAATAATAATTTTTTCTTTCAGATGCACAATAAAACCATGCCGATAATAATTATTATATTATCAATTTTGGATTAAACGTGAAATATCTAATACCGTTGACTTTGCATACAAGACACATGTCGACAAATACATTTACCGATATTTCTCGGAACCGATGGACTGGAAGAGCAGCTCTTTTTTTGTATGATATGCAGATTTTCAGCTCGTCCTCGTATCGAGCACATTGATTTGATACTAAGGATCTAAGACGTACAAGTAGGTAACAACGCCATTTGTTGCACGCGACAAGCGGATAGGGATATAAAACGAAAACGGCGTTATCCTATCTGAAAATACACTTTACGATATCTGGAACGAACGGAAGCCATTCATAGGTTTTGTAACTTGCCTCCAGGGCCATCCACGCGTAGCTTCTAGACTCCGGTTTGTTATCGTGTTCAGCCGCGAGGAACGAGAGACACCTTCGACTTAACCCTAACAAGAGATCGATGGATCCCGCGAGACCGCCCGATACGGCTGTTGTACGTATGCCAATTGTATAACGTATGTACATATATCAACCATCTCATTCGATCGATCGACCATGAGAAAAAGAGAGAGAGTGCGAGGGGCTAAAACGAAGCTACGAAGAACCAGATCCGCGAATTAATGCTCTCTTTATTTCGCCGCGAACATTTCGTTAAGACTCGATATGTCCATGTAATGCTCGCCGCTTTTTATCGAATCAATCGCCCGATCACTCCCTTTAATTACGTAACGCCGCGCTGGATTCTATTCGCCGACAGACAATAATTAAATCGCACTTGTCTGTCTAGGATTATTTTTCAAACGCGAAAGTTGGCGCGCGCAACAACAATTTCGCGCGAAATATTCGGCACTTTTTCAAGTGAGCTCCAGTGAAATATGATATGTGCGAAATTAATTATACAGTTAAATAAATATTTGTATTATCGCATCGCGATGTCCACCGACTGTTAATTACGATTCCGTCATTGCATTCCTATATATTCCGTGGAATCGCGCGATCGTTGCAATCGCGAGTTTAATGAGTTCGTACGTTGACAATATATCCATCGGTGGATATATATAAAACATTCCGTGTGTGATTTTTCAAATTCTCACCCGCGCGCGTTTCGTGATAAATGCGCCGGTCGCGCTGTCCTTTCGCGATGTGGCATCAATTCGAGCCTCGTTAACGGGAAATCGGCCCGTGCGCGCGTTGCATCTCCCGATCGAGGGGAACTAATTAGCCATAACTTTCCGTAAATGGATTTTAGCGCGAGATACCGCCGGCTTTTATTGCGCCTCGCGCTCGCGCCGATGTATCCGGCCGAGATCGCGATGACTGTTTGATGTATTATGGATTCAACTGTACAATAATTCCCCGCGGACTTTTATTATCACGGACCTCGTTCCCTTTTTTCGCATCGACGATAAGCGTAAACGCGCCGCTTTGATCGATCGCCGTCGCACACTTTCCCACGTTACGATTACGCGATACAATTTTGCTCTAGATTGGTAACGCAATTGAAACAGCCAATGTTGATCGTATATTATATCTACTTTTGTTTTTATGTTGCACTCTTCGCGACAAATGCGCGCCGATGATATCTCATTAGATAAAATAATATTTAATTAATTATTATCCAAGATGTAAAAACAATTTTAGCTCTTATGTGTAAACCATAAGTAAATTAGTAATAAAGAAATTTAAATTTTAGAATGTATAATAAATTATTTTAACAATCTAATAACATTTTATTTTTACTTTATTTCTTATTGTATATGAGTCATAAAACTTCTAAAACGTGTCTAATATTTTTTATAGTTGCTCGATATTTATATTAGCATACTTTACAGGAAAATTGCAGCGTGCAATGTGTTTACGAGGCTCGTAACGAGGAATATTTTACCATACCGTATTTATAGTCTTCAATAAAGTAGCCAATAATGGGAAAAGAAGCTTTACTTCAAACGTATTTTAATTACTACGAGCGCGTCTTGTAAAATGTGCGAGGCGAGCAATCAGATATTTTTTCCTTTTTACGTTACAAATATAAATAAATGTAGAAATTGTCGCGATTATATCACTGGATGTTCACGCAAACGCGCGGAAAGAATGTTCGTGATATCATAACACGCGCAATTACGATAATTAGTTTTTATTGTCGTCGTCTTAACTATCCGCGTGCTTCCTTATCTATTCCGTCCGCGGGATTACGCGTTGTAAAGACGTAATAGCAAAAGTTGATCCAATAATATCTCTCGAGGCGAGAACATTTATCTATTCGTCACGGTGTTTGGTATAATGAACGGATCTGACATAATAGCGATACATTACGATTATCAAGTTCACGCGATGAAGAGATGCAACGTGTGAGAGCAGTTTTCATTTAAAAAGATGTCATCACGTACAGCGCATTGATCACAGAAGATATATATATATATATATGGAAATAAATATACGACTGCAAAATTGTAACCACGTTCTAACATAGAGTGCAGATATAGATAAATGTGCAACAATTTATATAGTTTTTTTAAAATCTAAATTGCTATGTGCGCGGTACGATAATGTAATAACGTGAAGTCTATATATAATACATAAACTGTAACACAAAGAGAGATAAGTGAATTTCAATTATATAAATTTATCGATCGAATTTTTGCACAATAACACAAGTCTTGGAGATCCGCCTAGAAAATTGTTACTTGCGTTATACCAGATGAGAAATGGCCATGCTTGATTTATGAGGCAGAGAGCGGCTATTTCTCCGACTGCTTAACTATTGTTTCCTGACAATAAGCGTATATCAGATATGAATGACACGAAGAAACGTTTTCTATCATTCATCAAGCCGGCACTCGGCCGGGAAGTAAAGTAATTACACGTTTTCCTGTGTCACTTGAAAGGACCATCTATTTGTACGAAGGTGCAAAAACGCGCCGATAATACCGACATACTTCTTTCGAAGAGCAGATGATAATTAACTGTCCAGTCAATAATCTAAGATGCTGTAATGCAGTGTGACTCGTTCAAAATGACTTTCGCATAAACAAGCGACCAAATTGTTCACGTGTCATATGATTATGTGCGTATTTTTCATTTCTGCAGTAAAGTTGTATATATTTTGTTGATAAATGCAACGTTATTTGTTATATAAATATATATGCATAAGTAATAAATGATTTAAAGCTCTTTTAGCCTCGAGTTTATCATATATTTTAATTTATTATAATTTATTATGTATATAAATTAAATGTGATAAAATCGATAATAAGAGATTTTAAATCATTTATTACATACAACATTAAGAAATTATATTTCCTCCTCTCGCTTTTCCAAATATGTTTATATATTTAAACAGTTGTACCACATTCGCCTACTAAAGTGCACAAGTGTTGCAACCAATGTGTGTGTGTGTATGTGCGCGCACGCCATACGTTTTACTAATTAATTATTATTTAAAAATCGTGGTAACCAATTCCGCGAATTTGAGCGCATATTATGCATGACAGTAGTAAATTGCAGCCATTTATAACAAATGTTCTCTCGCACAATGGCAAGAAATATTTTTCTTCTCTCTCAGAATGCTTAAATATTTCTCCTCTGACTAAGAAGTTTATAAACACATTCGATGTACTTAAAGCTATTATACTATCGCCTAATGAGAGAGATTCTATCCACGAGTTTATTGGGCAATCTTAAATTCCGACAATGAATGCGTAAAACTTGTTTCGTCATCTTTCAAACACGTGTACTCCGTATAATATAAATATTAAATATTCAATTATATTATTTCTTCAAATATTAAATTATATTATTTCTTATGAAATCGCGTTCAGAGAATTCATATGTAAGCAAACCAATCATTCTATTTCATTTAAAGATTTACGTCTTGGAAATATATATCTTGATTAATGGAATTATTATACATTTTTGCTGTCGAATTCATCCCCATTAATATGAAACTTTATCTAAAGTATTCGGAATTTTTATAAGATTGTAATGCAGACCTCTTTTATTTCAAGACAACGATATAAATCATCGTTCCTATTGTGATAAATTGAAGCTGGATTGTCGTGACGCGAAAGTTTTCATCGCGTTATAGCACGTCTTGATAAATAATTTTTTTTTTTTCAAATAACTCTTATTAGCGAAAAACATGTCGTCGAATAAATTACTGTCACGCTCTCTAGACGCTTTTGCGTAACTCAAATATACAATAAAAATATCATAGTAAAGAATGAGATTGATAAACTCACCAGAGGAAGGCCGATCCGAGTATCTGGTGCAATAGACCCACGCAGGCCACAACATCTTCCCAGGATCGGTCCCGGTCGTTCCAGTCGAGTTGGACGTCGAATTTCCGGTCGACACGCTGGTAGGGGACGCGTTGGTCGTCGTCGTCGTCGTCGTCTCCGAGCTGCTCCTCTCCGACGTGTCGGAGGACGACTCTAGGAAGTCCTTGGTTAGATCAATCGGCCTCGAGGACACTTTTTTCGGGCGCGACTTCTTCAGGGAGATCGGATCCGTGATTCTCCTGCCGAAGTCCGCCTTCAGAATATTGTCTATGCTGAACTTCAGGCCCGCCTGATGTTGCAGATTGTTATTGTTGTTGTGATTGTTGTGGTGATGGTTGCCGTTGTTACCGATACTGTTCGGTATGCTGTTCGCGGCCGGCAGGGTACGTCCGTTCTCTTCCCTGGTGCCGGTCGGCGACGCCGGACTGCCCGGCTCCCGTTGCAGAAGCTTGCTGACCGAGAGTCGATGCTGGTGCACCGAATTCGCCGGAACGTGCTGCACTTGCGAGCCCTGTTGCAGATGCGTGTGAGAGTTCGGGTGATGTAGATGCTGGCTGTGATGCGGCATCAACGTGCTGGCAGTCTCCCGCGGGTCTCTACAGGCGGCAGGATGGAGAACACCGGGTGTCGTTGCCTGGAGTCCGGCTACCGTCATGGCCGACGGCGGTGACAAGGAGAGCCTCGTTACCAGAGGTACGTTTATGGGCGTACGATGTAACCTCTCCACGGTAGGATAAACGATCTCGTGACCTAAGCCGTGCTGGAGCCGCGTTGGATAATCGGAGATCTCGGATTCTCTGGAGGAGTATCGGGAAAGTAGGTGTTGCTGATGACCAGATTGATACCTGGGTACGATAGCCTCTTGGATCGCCTCCGGCCGACCTGGCGACGAGGCGGTGGCCGAGGAGGAAGCCGGGGACCTGACGGAAGACGCCGTGGGAGATGACGGTGGTTGACTGTAGCCGGGCGGACTCGGCGCCGATACGTGATTACCGGACGTACGCTGATAATACAGGTCGTTGCAGCTGGCGGAGCTAGCTGGCGACGGCGTCTCCGACGTTCTCGTGTTCTCCTCGTCGCGGAACTCGCCGCGACCGGAACTCGCGGATTCCTGATCGTGATACCTCATAGTCCCGCATACGCGCACTCCGACCACGCTGGTTGGCGTGGGTTCACTGCCAACGCTGAGTACCTCGCTGGTGTCGCTCTCGCAGTCGCTGTCCGCGTTGCTGCACTCCGTTCTTCGCGCCCGATCACGTTTCTCCGCGTCTTCCGGATCCTGATCCAGCCGGGAGATCAGATGGTTCGATCTGATCTCCGATTCCGACCCGGTGTCCAGACCTATCGGTGGGGCCGGAGATGCGGTCGACATGTTTTCCTGAGAGAAGACACCTCGCTCAATGACAGATCCAGTTTTCCTCAATTCGATCACAATGGAACTTTCGTCGGCCGTGTTTTCATGATGCCTTCTTCTTCCTAAGAAGACATTTCTTTAAACTGATGTTGAGTTTTTCTTTTGATGTGTAATATCATTATAAATAAATTACCATATAGAAGAGATTCTGTCTAGCATTGATGGACATCATCCTCAGAATTGTGTCAGTCGCTACCTGTGCGAGCTTCACGATTTCTTTTTAACGTACATGATGAATTAGTGTAAGACGATGTGACAATTTCTTCGTTGACGAATTTTCGTTCACAGTATATCACACTTCCGACGGTCACGTCTCGGCGTCTCGCGGAGTTCTGTCACCGGCTAAACCTCACTCCGCTTCATTCCGACGGAACAGTTTTTTGCGGGTTGTTTACAAACGGTTTCCTATACCTCATCCCGCTTTCGTCCTCGGTTTATCTTGCCTCGTAGACTTCCTGACGATGTCACACTACGAAGTACTTCGAATCCGGATTTCATACTCATCTGTAACACGGACAAACTTCAGGTGATACCTCTGTATATGTATATTTAAATTTCGAAAATCGTAAGCCCGCGAAATTCGGCTTACCTTTTCAAAGTCCCCGCTTTATGAATAAACGATGCACTCTCACATATTTCGGAGTTCGACGGTCGAACATTTCTCGAAAGTCGTGTAAAAGATCACAACAACGTCCTCGACAGCGACGAGAATGAAGATACGTTAGAGGTGTCTCTTCGTGTGAGTGAAGATCGCGTCGGCGAAAACGTGGGAGTCCTCCGCGATGCTGGGAGAGCAGACGCAGGTTTCGACGGAGTCGTTGTGCGACGCCGTGAAACCGGACCGGGCCTGCTTGTCCAGTTGGTTGCCGCGGAACGTCTGCGGCGAGGAAGCGGCGGGAGAATCGCCGATGGGCGTTCCTGGGCGTAAACGCGTACGCCTCTCCCGATGGGAATCCCCGGGGAGTGCGCGGCCGAGAGACGCCGTGCCATCTGGTGGCCGCCGCGAGAATTAGTCGCTCTGGCAACGCCTCCGCGCCCCCTCACTCTAAAGAGATGACGTCGCGGCGGCGGCCTTTGATTGGTCAGCCTCGCCGCGTTCCACTTCCTCGGCTCGCGTCACCCTTCTATGTCCACAGACGCGCTCCGTCCTCGTTCCTCGTCGTTCTCCCTCGTTTCATCTCCCCCGAACCGACGCGGAATAATATAGTGTCTATCGCGGAGGGAGAACCGGCCGAGTTCTCCCTCTCTTTCGGACTTTATTCCACGAGTCCTGGCGTGTATTTACCCATAGGTGATCCCAACAGCGGCCGGCGATTCTCTGTCCCTCTCGCTTTCTCGATGTTTGCCTCGGCTCGCCAGGATTGCCTCTCTTTCTCTCCTCATTTCCCGTCTGTTTCGCTTTCTGCCTGTATTTTCGCGCGCACTTCCCGATTCCTTTATCCGCGATCTAATATGTCTAGCGTATGTATACACTTCACTCGCGCTCGTTTTACACTTTGATTCGATCTACTTGCAGGTTGCAGGATGACCAACATCCAAATGTTCAATTATTATCGATTGTATAGATGTTAATACTGTAGCCATCTATGATCTATGTCTGTTGATAGATCTATGATTGTAATGTAATTTTGTATTACACGTGCAGGCAAAGTGGCACTTTGTGTGCGTGTTTTCTGTGCGAAAAGCGGCTGATTTCCCACGCCGCCATCTAGCGGCAACGCGGCTATTTTCGCACCGTGCCGTCGCAAGATGGCGGCGTGCGATCGGCCACCTCGCGCACAGAAAACGCGCACAAAGCCACTTTGCCTGCACTTGTAATACAAAATATCGTGTGTATCAAGTGCGGATTGACAATTGTTCACTCGTGTGGGGTGGTCGCACTCGCCTTCGGCTCGTGCGTCCATCCCCCGCACTCGTGACCAATTGTCAACTTTCCGCACTTGATACACAATATACTATTTTCTGCTGTTGGTCATTCTGCGAATTTTGTAGTTTTGCCGTTGGTCATCCTGTGAATTCATCGATGCCTTATTATTTTCAAATCGCTTGCAAAATCGACCGGTCGATCATCTCGCTCCTTAATTCTCCGTTTGGTGAGCATCCTTATATATTTTCAATATTTCGTTGAACTTGCTTTATTAGGTTATACTTCCTCGTTACTCTTTGATTATGAATTTTTGCCCAACATTTATTAATCCGAGATAAATATATGCATGATTATTATATTGACTGAAGTTTTACACGCGATATGATATCGAAACTAGAAATTATGCAGAATTATGAACTTGAGTTTTCTCGTAATTATAGGGAAAAGAGACACTGTACGATAGGAGAGCAACTTGCGATGTTTTAAAATGCAAAGCAGATGAAGCGCGAGGGAATTATAGGCAGCGATGGAATTATTGATTATCATTGAATTATCGATTCTCCGCACGAGATTTTTTTTGTTCGACAAGATGGTGCGTGAATCGTATATTTTCATTTTTCGCTGGACCAACGAGGAGTTCGAACGTACATTATTTCGGAGCAATCATTTCTACAATAAGGATTTTCATGTACGTACACAATCAAATTTCAGTATTCTTACATATTACATGTTCAGAATATATCGAAAGTTTCTTAAATGATAGCGTATAAACTTTTTGAATAGTTAATCAAATTGGCTTTAATTTGATAACATAATATTGAAAATAATATTTTTATCTATATATATAAAAGAAAAAAATTATATATAATATATAAAAAATTGTATAATATTTATTTTTCAATGGAATATGCTAGGTTTAAATCTGTTTAAGTGAATTTGCCAATTAATTTCAATTATTATTTACAGACGCATTTTCTAGAACACTCTCTTACTTCCATTTCGATTCTGAGGATTCTGCGGCTTTACGTCTCGATGTGTGCGTGCACTTTTCGCATGTAAATAGAAATCCACCACGAAACCGACTCGACCATCAAAGAGACATAATGACGTATTGTCAGCAGCACGTTAACACCTCGTAAACTTGAACGCGAATCCGACATTTGCCGAGGAGCGAGTGAGAGAAGGTATGTAAGATATATCCTTGCAAAGCTTATAAATTCCTACCATCTAATTATATTTATTCCCGGTTATTTGCTAGAATGAAATCGTGTCTAATCTCGTCACGAAACAAGACGTGTGTGTTTACTTGGCTTTGTTTTTTTCTCGCCAAATACTCGAAATTATAATCTAATAAGATTGCAAATAAGATTGCACTTTTCTCGCAACGTGAACATGAATTATTTTTAAAGATAACTTACGTACGATGTGCACTTAAGTGTCTGCATCTACTTTGTTCGTGCCTCATAGTGATATTTCATTCTCTCTGTTGCAATTTTCGAGGAACATACGACCATTTAATAACGTATCATCGTTGCAGGAAGATCGAAGGAACGCGTCGTAATTCAGATAAAATTAACGAAAAAGGATATTGAAACAAGGTCAAAAATGCGAAGATGGTAGTTTTGTCGATGCGTGTATATAGTGCACGTAATAATGGAGAAAAAAAAAAGAAATCGCGTCGTATAACAGCCGCGATCGCAGGATTAAGGAATTTCGACGTTATTCTCCCAACATGTACTTGAGCCTCGAACTCGTTACAGCCGGTCGCCTTCGTAAATTTCGTTAACGCGGAGTACCCTGCACATTCCCGCCTTAACGAGCGTCCACGCGCACTCGTTAGTATCCCTAAGGCCTTCTCTTCGCTTAGGATACACCCTGTAAGTTAGCCGAGACTTGTACTGCGCGCTCGCTAATTCGTAAGCGGCTACTCTCATTCGTCGAGAGGATGCAGCTTGCTCTCGTGGTACGAGGTGATGCATCCTTTCCAGGGTCGGATCTATTATATGTATAGGCGAATCGATTCTTTATGTGCTTGTAAAAAGCTTCTCGATTTTTGCTCTTATTTTCAATTTTTATTTTATTTTATTAATTGAATTTCAACATTTCTAATGTGTAATATTCTTATAATTTTGATAAACGTAGTATATAGATTATCTTGTTATTTCTGCGCGTTGCAAATAATCCGATCGTCATAATTGATTAATTTTCTTTTAAAAAAATATAAATAAATCCATATTGTAACAATGAAAATATTAAAAGTCGCACTTTGCTGCACTCTGCAAAATTAAAAACATTAATTATTCTGCAGATACTGCAGTCATTTTTTATATTAAATTAAATATATGAGACTTTGTGCCGTAAAACATTTATTTAAGGTAAAGATAAAGTTACGTTAAACTTACTTAAATGAATTCATAAGTATATATTAATTAGATTATAAAACAGATATTTTGTATTTCATTATTTATAACATAGTTTCTTACATTTATTGTTTTTCTTTTTGCAACGATAAATCTAATGACCCGTAATATGCAAGTATATCTTTCATCGAATTAAATTAATTTGCATAATTTATATCTTAACTTGCTTGAATTGATTAATTTTGCGCTGTTGATTTTTATCTTAATCTCAGATTTTATTTTAATTGTACCGAATGTGTTTGCGGTCTGTACAGATGCTTAATGATATAATAATTTATACTGTACAAAGTTAATGATGCATAATAACTCTGGGAAATTCTTCTTAACGTGATTTACGACGCATCTATGCAAAGTGCGTAATATACAGCAGATTAAAATTCCTTTCGTGACATTCAGGATTGCATTGCATAGAGTTCACACTCATAGAATGTCGCTTAATCTTTAGTTCGCTTTGATTTACGATTAATCTGTATTTAGTTTATTCAAACAGCAATCTTAATGTGTCAAATCAAAAATGATGGTAAAAATGATGAAACGATCGACATTTTTATCAAAAAGCACATTATTAACCGAGTATTTTTTAGCTTGTTGAATTCTATTTTTGTTCATGAATTTTCATAAAACACAAGATTAAACTAAAGGAACTTTACTTGAAACAACAGGAAATTCACTTGAAACAAAGGAAACTCAACCTGGGAGATACATAGAGCTATTTCAACCAGAGGCTGCGTCCCTGCAACTGTAAGTACATATTGATTTCTCGAGTATCGAGCTGCCCGGCAGCATTAGCATGGCAAAGAAAGCGCCAATTTGGGTCTGATAAGCAGCCTGCCATAAGAAACAGGGAAGGAATACTATCTATCAGTTATTTTAAAAGAGCCTTTTTTCGTTCTTTATTATAGTTTGACTAAAGTACAAAACTTTTGAATTTTTTAATGATGATGCACGCGTTAAAAAACGTTGCTATTATTTTAGTGAAAAATTATTATTATTTCATTTATAAACCAGTTATTCTAGACTCTGGATATGTGGATTATAATCATAAAAATGAGAAAACTTCGCTGCTTACGCAATTAATTGAAGCAACACTTTGCTCTCTGATCTATAGATAGAATTCTTTCTTAATTAGCTTCCCTTCGCACATAAATTATGGAGAATTAAATCTTACAAATCATTAATTCGACCCGCTTGACAGTTGAGTTGGAGGAAACAGGGTAATGTAATTAAATTATTATTAATTGGACATTTAGATACAAACGCGATGGACAAATTGCCCGTCGTTTGATAAGATAGATACAGAGAATTACGCCGCATTGCAATAACGAATCTTATTGCCCGCTTCGCGTCGCAAAGATAAATTATAGGTGTAGTTCACAATGGAGTCTTTATCAGATTTGTTTGGACGCATGTCGCTCATTATTAGGAAATTTCTCCTCTGCAAAGAATCGTCCGGCAAATTCGTCATTCGCGGTGTTAAATAAGGCCGGTGTTGCAAATTGCCTCGGGATCGCAATAATGTACCGCGCTGCAGGCGCTAAATTTCGTGGGATCACGCGAGAAGGCCCGAGTTATATTCG